ATGTTCTCCCTTCTCTGAACCCCTCGCCCTGTGCTGTGCAGGGGTCCTAGCGAAATCCATGGGACAAAGTGGGGGGCAGGGGGCGGTGTCCATTGTGGACCAGGCCTCCCAGCGCCCCCCATTCAGTTTGGGGACATGTACTCACATCCTTCCAGGAATACAACAGTCTCTGGATCTTTACCCGCATTTTAAACACACACACACACACACACACACACACACACGCACACACTGCCCTCCAAAGTAACCCTGAAAACATGTTCACTGTTCACTCATTCACACTTTTAAATAAGAGCCACCGAAAAGCCTTAGTGGGTCAGGTCCTGCAAACAGTTCACAGAGAGAACCCCAGCCCTGGTGAGATTGGCGCTGTAGCCAACGGCAGCAGACATACAGAGGTAGCCGCCCGGTCCTGGGCTGTGCTGTGCCAAGAACAGGAAGAGGGACGGAGGGTGGGGCAGCGCAGGTGTCAGCGGGTTGGCCAGAGAAGGCCTCACGGACAAGGTGGCGTTTGAGAGGCAGAAAGGCTAAGAGCGAGGGAGTCAAGTGTGTGCACAGCTGGACTGAAGGATCTAGGGCAGTGGTCGGCAAACCTCAACTCGCGAGCCACATGCGGCTCTTTGGCCCCGTGAGTGTGGCTTTTCCACAAAACACCACGGCCTGGGTGAGTCTATGTTGAAGAAGTGGCATCAGAAGAAGTTTAAGTTTAAAAAATGTGGCTCTCCAAAGAAATTTCAGTGGTCTTACTGTTGATATTTGGCTCTGCTGGCTAATAAGTTTGCCCACCGCTGTTCTGGGGAAAGAGCCGAGTGCACAGGGGGGAGGGGGGCGGGGAGCAGGCCGCAGGCCGGAGCTGGCGGCACCTGCCCTGACGGGAATCCTGATAGCACACCCCCTCCCAGCAGCACAGGCAGCAGGAGCCTGGGGTAAGGATTGCAAGTGAGTCAGCCGGAGGGAGAGGCGCTGGATGGGGAGGGTTCCTTTGTTTATGAAATTCCTAGGAAGACAAGGGAACTGGCAGAGACTGCTGTTAGAAACCCACCTCAGTCCAGCATGGCTACCTTCTTATCACCTTTAAACCAGCGTGACGTGTTCTGGAAAAAATCTCTTAAACCGGGCTCAGCACTCTGCCCAGGTGCGGGAACAAGCAGCTTTGCTTCCTTTCTGGGCCAAACCCGATTCTGCAGCTGTCCCTCCTTCTTCTCTCCCCCCCATGACCCTCCCCTGTCCCACCTTCTTCTCCCCCCCCCATGACCCTCCCCTGTCCCACCTCCTTCTCCCCCCCATGACCCTCCCCTGTCCCATCTCCCTCCCCCCCATGACCCTCCCCTGTCCCACCTCCTTCTCCCCCCCATGACCCTCCCCTGTCCCATCTCCCTCCCCCCCATGACCAAGTCAGCAGTGTCCTCAGGGGTTGGGAGCCAGGGACTTGGCCTCCCAGCAGCGGAGTCATACACTGAGTCACAGGGCCTGCAGGGCAGACGGCTCAGGCTCCCAGGTGACTCACCGCCTCGGGCCTCCCTCTCTCGGGTGTGGGCTCTGTGCTGTGCTCTCACACTGATGTCCCCAAAGCTATTATACTAAGAGGCGCTGGCGTCTCGGTGAGACCACCGGCTTGCTGTCTGCTGAGCTCTCAGTACTTCTCTGTAAATTCCAGCTCAGGACGGCAGCCACGTTTTCCCCATTAGTACCAGGGCCACCCCAACCCAAGTGGCCCAGTGCTCCTCTCTCGGGGCCTGAGGGAGGCCACACTAGGTCCATCTCACCAGAGAGGCACGGGAATATCAGCATCCGGACATCTAGCGCCTTGTGCACGCAGGCGGGGACCGCGGCTCCTCCTACAGAAAAGTCCATCCTCCCCGTTCCCCACCTGATGGAACACAGTCTCCTCAGCCGGCCCCTGACCTCCTCCACCTTTGCCCTGACTGTCCCTCCTGCTGCACTCATCTGTGCTGACACCTCTCACCGGTCAGCCAGGCCACTCTGCAGCCCTGACTCACATCCAGCCTCTGCTCTTCTGCTCCTGCTCCTGCTCCCGCTCCTGCTGCCGTGTGGTTGGAGAAAATATTACAGTCTGGGTCTTTACTGTCATTTTAAACACACACACACACACACACACACACACCCTACCCTCCAAAATAACCTTGAAAACGAATTCACTGTTCACTCACTCACACTTCAAATAAGAGCCACCGAAAACCACATGCACACGTGTGTGGGCACCTATGCTTGCTCACACACGCACACACAATCCCAGACCTACACCGTCTGATCAGAGCCACGTTTAGCTTATCCACAGTGGATATTCCAGACACCTTTCCCTACAATTGGTCTCGACACGTTTTTATTGCTTGTCTAACGTGTGCTGGATACAGCGGGTTGGGCCCACATGAATGTGCTGTGACCTCTGCTTTCAACGTGCGAACAATCCTGAGAACGAGGGTGGGCGGAGTAGCGGACGTGGATGAAATAACCACGGCCACAGAGCGACAGCCACGAGGCAGGTGTGTGAGTCATCGTGAGAGAGTCACGGAGGAGAGGAGAGGAGCGGAGGGCGGGGAGGCCACTGCAGACGGAGGGTACGGGGAAAGGAGGGCTGAGGATGACTCTCAGGGCCTGGGCCTGATGGCCAAATTGACAAGGCCGAGGAGCGGGTAGGAAAAGCCGCTGGAGCAGTGCAGGGAGGGGCGGGGGGACCTTTTTGTAGGTATGCTGTTTGACAGCCCTGCGAATTGGGTGGGTCACCTGAGGCCCCTATGAAATATATGCAGTTTGGGGCTTGGGAGAGCTAGCTGTGACAGACCTGCACACTGGGAGTGGCTACAGACTCACGCTTGGTGCCAAGGAGGAAATAACTCAGAAGACATAGCATGTAACAGGGAGGCAGAGAGTAAGAAATGAATTGAGAAAGAACGGCCAGAAAAATTAGAAAATTAGGTGACTGTTTCTGTCCCTAAATTGACCTGCAATTGTCTTCTTCTCAATTCTACTTCCAGGCTTTTCTACTTGGATATTGCTCTAATATCTCAAATTCCACTTTCACACACACACACACACACACACACACACACACACGCTTTCACTTCTGGCTTTCCTTTCTGTGTCAATAGCATGAAGACCAAGCTTTTTACGGATAAATCTGAAACCCCGACTCTTCACCAACAGCGGCTGTGCTGAGTTAACGCTGTGCTGGCAGGCCCAGCGGCTCCCTCACCATTATTCTTTTAAGAATCAGCTCGCTGCACACACACTTTCTAAAGAGATCCCCTAACTCATGGTTCAAAGTGTGGTTAGGGACTCCCTTCTCTAGGATTATATTGCGTCCTCATATATGTCTAGCACTGCATTTATAATAGTTTATAGTAGTTACAGTTACATTAGTTCATAATGTCAGATCTATTTCATAAAGACCTGTTTTTGTTTCTTTGAATGAAGGAACACTTAGTTCGCATTTCCAACAGAATGACATGCTCAGTGAAGAGGAACAAACTAAATGGCAAAAGGGATGAGAAAGGGGAGATGGCAACCGCACTGGATCTGGCAAACTGGCAAAATCGGAACCGGGAAGTGAGGGGGAGCTTGGGGGAGGGGAGATGAAGGCACTTCCCACCACAGAAGGAACCGGGCCATTTTGGCCAAATTTTCTAGTAGCAAATCAATCCTTCATACTTTCACCGGCTCTTCCATTACTCCGACTGCACTAGGTAACCTTGCTTGGAAGTGCCCTAGTCTGTTGCTGATGCCAGTATTTCTGCTTTTGAGGAAGAGTTCACGTTAACGTGTACGCTTGCAATAACTATTGTGTAATATATCGCCATTTATTGCACCCTCGGGTGCTAGACACTGCAGAATGCTTCGCACAGATTTCCTGGTTTAATCTGTGCAACAACCCTGTGTGCTGGGCACCATGAATCCAACTGGACGGATCTGGAACCTGAGGCCCAGGAGGGCGTCCGTCCAGGAGGAGGATCCTGACCTCTGGTTACACTCTGTGGACGGGATTTTGTAAATCACAGGGCGAGTGTGCCTTCCCCCGGTCACCGCCGGAGCGCTCCTGGCGGGCCTGGTTCGCCAGGGCTCCCATGTGCCATCCTGCCGACCACCGCTCCCCCCTGGGCTGGCTCCGGCACCTGCACCTGCACCTGCACCCGCGGGAGGCGCTGCGGCAGGGGGAGTGGGCCTGGCGCCCGGGGCCCAGGCGGCCTCGCTCTGGGCAGGAGGACCCGCCCCAGGCGCTCCTCTTCCTGCCGGCCTGCCCCAGCCCGGCCTGCTCACGCCAGGGCGGCCTCGCAGGACGTGGTCCCCCTGGACACGGGGGTCCCCCCTGGACACGGGGGTCCCCCCTGGACACAGCGGGTCCCCCCTGGACACGGGGGTCACCCCTAGACAAGGGGGTCCTCCCTGGACACAGGGGTCCCCCCTGGACACGGCAGGTCCCCCCTAGACAAGGGGGTCCTCCCTGGACAAGGGGGTCCCCCCTGGACACGGCGGGTCCCCCCTGGACACGGGGGTCCTCCCTAGACAAGGGGGTCCTCCCTGGACACAGCGGGTCCCCCCTGGACAAGGGGGTCCTCCCTGGACACGGGGGTCCTCCCTGGACACGGCGGGTCCCCCCTGGACACAGCGGGTCCCCCCTGGACAAGGGGGTCCCCCCTGGACAAGGGGGTCCCCCCTGGACACGGCGGGTCTGTCTGCCAGGTGGCCCGGCCCTGCGGCCAGCTCCGCTCGGGGAGGAGCCGGGGGAGGAGGGGGGAGGGCGGGGCGGGGCTGCCGCCCAAAGTCCCCAACCAGGGCGGCCAGGTGAGCGACAGGCGGCTCCTCCTGCGGGAACTCCCACCGGGCGGGGACCCGCGGCTCCGGTCGGCGGCCCCGGGGCGGGGCCAGTGCGGGGCGATCGCCGGGCGGCCGAGCGGGAGGAGCGGAGGAGCCGGCGGAGCGGATCGCCCTGCAGCCGGCGGAGGAGCGGGGAGCGGACGGCGCCCCGGGGCGGGCGGAGGACGATGGCGCTGCGCGCGGACGGCGCCCCGCTGCTGCCGCTGCTGCTGGTGAGTGAGGGCCCGCGGCGGCCTGGCACCGGCACCGGGCGGGCCTGGCACCTCCGGGTGCCCCGGGCCCAGCCCAGCCCCGGCCCGGCCCGAGCCCTGTGCGCGGCACCTGCGGAGCGGGCTTTGTTCGGTCCCCGCGGGAGCCCGGGGAGGGGGGGGGAGGGAGAGAGGGAGAGAGAAAGGGAGGAGGAGGGAGAGGCAGAGGGAGAGAGGGAAAGAGAGGCAGGGGCAGAGGCGGAGGGGGAGGGAGAGGGAGAAAGGGAGAGGGGGGCCGCCGACCCCAGGGCGCAGGCGAGGCCGGGACCCGGAATCCTCAGAAAGGCCCGTGTCCTTCACACTTTCCGCAAGGCTTCTGTAAGCAGACCCGCTTTAAGCCCAGAGGCAGTCTTAACCTCCGGCTGGAGCCGCAAAGTTGGAGTTTGAAGGCCATTCATCTCCTGGTGCGAACGGCCCCACGCGCTAGCGCTGAGGCTGGTGTCCTTCCGAAGGGCTGCAGCGCGGGGGTCTCAGGTCAGTCTCTGTGGCTGGGCCTCCGGGTCCTCTCCCACCGACTGTCAGCCAGCAGCCAGCGGAGGGAAGGAGAGACCCCTGGCTCATGCTTCCCGCCCCCTCCTCTCTCTCTCCCTCCCTCTCCCCCTCCAACTCCCCCGCCTGCCACCCAGGCCAGGGATGCGCCTGCAACCCAGATAGTCCCCTTGACTGGAACCGGGATCTGCTTGCCATGCTCCACCCACTGAGCCAACCGGCCGGGCTCAGTGGATCATCTTAAAGAAAGGGTTTCAATGCTGCGTAGACAGTGTCCAGTGCTGCCTCTGTATGCCATGCTTGCTTCCAATGAGCCAGTTGGCTTTTAAACTGTATCCGTCTCCCTTTGCTAACGGACTTCCGCATAACTTAGAGGCGGCCCGGTTTCCGGGACTCCGCTGAATGGGTTCCATGTGGTGTCGGGTGGACTCACCTGGGACCCACCAGGAAGTGCATACAGAGCGGAGGGCGGGGCAGCGCGCACCTTGGGCCCCTGGGACCAGGTTCCTGCCTGCTCCACTTGCCATCTCGTTCTGCCCAAGCCATGAAGTGACTTCAGTTCGAGTTCACGCTGTCTGTCAACAAAGCTTCTCTGAGACATGGCTGTGGGGTTTGTTTGGACCCCGAAAACAGCAGTAATTCCCCGGGGCCATGCTGGGGGCAGAGGAGAGCAAATGCCAAGCAGCATAGCCTGGCCTGGGTGGTCACTGTCTCCCTCCCTGCAGGGAGGAGCCCTCCTGTCCTCCCGGGCAGTCACTGTCCCCCTCCCTGCAGGGAGGAGCCATCCCGTCCTCCTGGGGGGTCACTGTCCCCCTCCCTGCAGGGAGGAGCCCTCCTGTCCTCCCGGGGTGACAGCAGGCCAGTTCAAACAGCGACAGAGAGCTCAGCAGCTCGGCGCACTTTTTACGGTAGCACTTGGTGTTTTCACTTTCCTTTGGCCCCATCTCTGCCCTTTGGGAGTGAGACTCGCTGGCCGGAGCTGGGGGAGTTCTGGAGGCCTTCGCACTTTCCAGGCCGCTCTGGGATGTGAGTGTGCAGTCCGTCTGGGTCCGAGCGGCCTGTAGCCATTGCCCCGATGTGCCTGCAGCTGGAAGGACAGGCAAACGCTCCCGGGTCCGGCACCTCCTCCTGTGTCCAAAGCCTCCCCAGTGGGAAGTGCCCTTCCTATGCTGGCCTCCCGCTCCTGGCCGGCCTCACCCCGTTAGTTAGCGCTCCCAGCGCCCCCCGTTCGCCGCCAGGGGGCAGTTATCGTGAGTTCCATCTTGAGTTCCTACTCCTCTCCGAATGAGGCAGAGCCTGGCATTTCACAGACTGGCGGAGGAATGCTCCGAGAAATGTGTCCTTAGGCAGCATCATCGTTGCGCAAACTGCACTGACTGCACGTCCGCACCCGCATGGCCCGGCCGCCACACTCCCAGGCTCGGTGCTGGGCCCAGCTGGAGGCGCTCTAGGCGACACAGGAATGTTTAAAACATGCAGGGCCTGGCTGCTTAGTCATGGGCACTGACCTCAGTTCCCTTCGACTGTCAGATAAGAAAAATGGCAACAGCCAACACAATAGCCATCAGGTGTGAATGAATCAAAATTATACTTTTGTTTGCGTGTCACATCGAAAAAATACATATATTTTGCCGAAACCGGTTTGGCTCAGTGGTAGAGCGTCGGTCTGCAGACTGAAAGGTCCCGGGTTTGATTCCGGTCAAGGGCATGTACGTTGGCTGCGGGCACATCCCCGGTAGGGGATGGGCAGGAGGTGGCTGGTCGATGTTTCTCTCTCATCGACGTTTCTGGCTCTCTGGCTCTCTCCCTTCCTCTGTAAAAAATCAATAAAATAAAATTTAAAAAAACATATATTTTGGAGAGCTGCAGAATGTCAGTGATTAGTTGATGTCCATGCGATGAAACGGTTGGAAGTCACCGGGACAGTCTGCTGCTCCACGGGCTGCAAGCCTGTCCAGCACATCGCGGTACTGACGGCTGTAGGCAACGGAATACAGCGGTACTTGTCTGTCTAAACAGAGAAGGCACATCCCCATGACTTTCTGCACTTTCTGTGTTTAAAGGGACAAAATAAAAATGCAGCACAACAACCAACGTGTATGCGCGCTTTGGGGGTCGGAGGAGGGCTGCGAACAGAGTCTTCTGGCCAGGAAATAGCCATGGGGGAGGGGAGGACGGAAGGGAGAGCAGACCCAGAGAATAAGCGTGAGATGAGAAATGATAAAAGGGAGCGGGGAGGAGAGAGAGGGAGGGACAGACGGAGAGGAAAGACAGAGGAAGGGAAATGGGGGGGAGAGAAGGGAGTGTGTGCACACAAGTGTGTGCGTGTGTGCATCCCAGGGAGACAGACAGCATGCTGAGCCTCCTCTTCTCTTACACACCCCGAGCTCACAGGAAATTCAATATGGATGTCAGTTCCAGCATTTTCTTTCAAAGTCACAAACATGCTTTCTGCTTATAATCCATTGAGGCCACCATCACTTACGTGTGGCCCATTGTTGACCGAAACGTCGTTATGTGACGCATGACTGTAGAGTATCGGTTGGTTACCTGGGTGACTGTGTGGCTAACGGAGCGATGCAGCCACACACCATCACAAAGGAGTGTCTATCACGGATTGCTAGCCTGGAAGGATCCAAATTCAGAATGTGACGTACGGTTTCTCCTGGATGCTTACCACATTGGCACCAGCCATAAGTCGACTTTGCGAGCCAGGGGCCATCTGGGTAGTCTTTGGTAAAGAGTGGAAAGCAACTCATCAAAGTAGTTCTTAAGGAAACAGGATTTTTATAGGAGAGAACAGAAATTATAGTCTGTACAGGTCAGAGTTCAGTTGCAGATAACAAGTCTCTCTAGCTAGTCAAGGCAAGAGGTTTATTTCAGGACAGAAAGTTGATTTCGTAAGTGTAGGAAAGATTGAGGAAACAGACCACAGTTTGTGTTATCAGCAAAGACATCAAAGCCGTACAGCCAGACCCAAGCACACAGGGAGGGCCGCCTCCCCTGTGAACAGGAAACACTGCCACTCTGGCAGTCTGGAAGCTTCCATGATTAGGATGCTATTGCTGCCGCTCACAGAACCATGTGACAACTGCTAGGATCCATACCAGCTAAATGTACTTGTGCTCTGCCTCTTGGCACCCAGGAATCTGGTGGTGGGCACTAAGGCTGCAAAAACCCAAACACAGCCACATCCATGCTTGCCAGCTCCACTTCTTTCTCTACCATCACATGTAAGTACTGATTGGCTGAATCTAAATCATCACATTCAGAACCTTAGCTGCAAGGGAGTCTGTGGTATATGAGCTTTGGCTTTCCCTCTGCAGTTCAGGAAGTCACACCAGCCTTAGCCGATTTGGCTCTATGGATAGAATGTCGTCCTGCGACTGAAGGATCCCAGGTTCAGTCCTGGTCAGGGCACATGCCTGGGTTGCAGGCTGGATCCCCAGTAGGGGGAGTGCAGGAGGCAGCCAATCAATGATTCTCTCTCATCATTGATGTTTCTATCTCTCTCACCCTCTCCCTTCCCCTCTGAAATCAGTAAAAAATATTTTTAAAAATAAAATATTTAAAGAAAAAGAAAGACACACCAGAAGGAGATTTGGGGTGATACCCCCATAGTTATCACAATCATTATCACAACTCCATCTAAATGACAAAATGAGAGACTTTGTGAATAAAAGCAGAGAATCTTTTCTTCTCGAGAGTTCTTTACCTGGGATCTGTACATAAGCAAAATTCAGAAAGTCCTTAGACATGGGGATAAATTACATACCTATTTTCACTACCTGCTAACTGAGACTTTCTTTAAGTTATGAATGTAGGAAAGACATTGCAATAGCATTAACAGGACCTGTATCCAACTGTCCGCTTTTTATAAAGACAGTGATTATGTTGGGCTCACACCAATGACCTCAAGTTGGTTAAATCTCCAAAGACCCTGATTCCTAAAAGGTCACATTCTAAGACGCTAGGACAGTGGTCGGCAAACTCATTAGTCAACAGAGCCAGATATCAACAGGACAATAATGGAAATTTCTTTGGAGAGACACATTTTTTAAACTTAAACTTCTTCTAGCGCCACTTCTTCAAAATAGACTCGCCCAGGCCGTGGTATTTTGTGGAAGAGCCGCAGTTTGCCAACCACGGTGCTAAGGGTTAGGACTTGAACTTACCTTCTTTTGGGAAACACAATGCAACTCATATATTATTAGTACCATCAGTTATCCAGTATTCTAATGTGCAACTGGACAACAGATTTTAGGATAAATTCAAGTATAACTTAGATGGTATTGAAGCCTGTAAGAATAATCAGTTCTATCCAGAAATTTTAGAAATGCATAATCTCACACTTGGTTTTGTTTCTAAAAATTAATAACAGGGAAATGGCAACTCAACAGAAACTTAGAGAAAGGACTTTACAAAAAGACATGAATCTTCATTCAGCCTAAATTCTCCCTGATCGTTAGAAATAT